GTTAGAAAGAAATATTTGTAATTCAAATAAATGTTGTAAACAATAATTGAAACTTTAAATCCAGATTTTAAAAAATTGTGGTTTTGGGCTGGGCGCAGTGGCTCAAGTCTGTAATCCCAGCACTTTGGTGAGGCAGGCAGGACACACCTGAGGTCAGGAGTCTGAGACCACACTGACCAACATGGTAAAACTCCATCTCTACTAAAAATACAAAAATTAGCCAGGTGTGGTGGTGAGTACCTGTAATCCCAGCTACACGGGAGGCTGAGGCAAGATAATCGCTTGAACCCGAGAGGCGGAGGTTGCAATGATCTAAGATTGCACCAGTAAACTCCAGCCTGGGTGACAGACTGGAATGGAGACACAGACATTTAAAAAAAGAGAAAGAGAGAAGGAAGGAAGGAAGGAAGGAAGGAAGGAAGAAGGAAGGAAGGAAGGAAGGAGGGAGGGAGGGAGGGAGGGAGGGAAAGATGATCTAGATTACACAAATACAGATGTCTTTACTTGCTCATGACATGATTATCTATGCAGAAAATCCAATGGAATCTACATAAGAGCTCCTAGAAATGAGTTTAACAAGCTTATAGGAAATAAGATTAACACACAAAAATCAATTTTCTATATTCTAGTAATAAACAATTAGAACTGAAATAATCGACATAAAAATATCAAATACTTAAGATCAAATTCGACAAAAGATATTAAACACATGTACAAAAATTACAAATTTTAGACAATTACATAAAAATTCATGGAATAAACTAGATTCACTCTCAGTTATGTCTACTAGCTGACATGTTAAGGTGTTAATTTTCTCCATACTAATATAAAAAGATACAACACATAATCCCATCAAAATCACACCAGTCTTTTTTGTTAACACAAGTTTTTCCAAAAGTTACATATTTTTCATCTATTGAAAGATATTAATCCCTGAATTAACCGAATAAACCTAAGAAGGAAAATATGGAACTAAGTTAATACAGATTCTGAGCCTAGAGATCAGTTCCCAAAGAGAAGTGAAGAACAGTAGCTGACTACACTAGAGGGTACTCTGTCCAGTGGGAACAAAAGGAGAACAGATGCTCTGATTGTGTGTACAGTGTGTGTGTACAGTATGTAAGTGTGTGTGTGGCAGAGGAGGATGTAAGAGTGCCTTCTCTTTTTTCTTTCAGACAGAGTTTCACTCTTGTTTCCCCGGCTGGATTGCAATGGCATGATTCAGCTCACTGCAATCTCTGCCTTCTGGGTTAAAGCAATTCTCCTACCTCAGCCTAATGAATAGCTGGGATTACAGGCATGTGCCACTATGCACGGCTAATGTGTTGTATTTTTAGTAGAGATGGGGTTTCACCATTTTGGCCAGTCTGGTTTCAACCTCGTGATCTCAGGGGTTCCGCCCACTTCAGCCTCCCAAAGTGCTAGGATTAAAGGCATGAGCTACCATCTCATTTTCTATAAAAGTAAGATAGTCCTGACAAAGACACACTGAATAAAAAATAAAGTTACTTAGAAATATTGAGGTAGACAGATGAAAGGGGAAAGTGGCATTGGGTATGGAGGTTCATGCCGGTAATCCCAGTGCTTTAGGAGGCTAAGGCATGAGAAATGCTTGAGGTCACATGTCCAAGAACAGCCTGGGCAAAACAGAAATTTAAAAAAAATTTTTTTTTAAGTTGGCCAGGTGCAGTGGCTCACACCTCTAATTCCAGCAATTTGAGAGGCTGAGGCAGGCATATCACAATGTCAGGAGTTTGAGACCAGCCTGATCAACACGGTGAAACCCCAACTCTAATAAAAATACAAAAATTAGCCAGGTGTGGTGGTCCATGCCTGTAATCCCAGCTACTCAGGAGGCTGAGGCAGGAGACTCGCTGGAACCCAGGAGGCAGAGGTTGCAGTGAGCTGAGATTGAGCCATTGCACTACAGCCTGGACGACACAGTGACTAATAAAGACTTAATCAAGACTTAAAGGAAAAATACATAGGCAATACTAAAGACACAGTATTAGGCTTCTATTGGCAATAACTGGAGTAATAATTTTTTTTACATAATACACTACTTCATTAGTATATATTTTTAGTATTTTATTTTAGGATTTCTAAAGTAGTTTGCCTTTGACCCCATAATTTGTTATAAAGTAGGTCCTATAATCACATTTTTTAATGCTGAAACTGAGATATAAACAATTCTGTGTTTTTTTGTCAGAAAAATAGGACAAAATACAGAATTACCAAAACCAGATTCACTGGCTCTATTATGTTTGCTAGGTGTCAGAAAATGACAGTTTTCTAATAGTTATTTATTCACAATCTGTTACTCTAGAAATTTTAAGAGGTTTTGAGTCCATTCCAGTATAAAAATAAGGCCAAAGTGATCCTGTAAAATCATCATTAAAAGTATACAGTAGGGAGCTATCATTCAAATTATAAAAGGAAACCTCACTCATTTCATAATCTAAAAAAATGCCAATCTTACTAGGTGTTACTTTTGGCAGCAGATTAATTTCCTCATGACCCAATACAATATATTTATCCTGACCAGATCGCTGAATTCCCCACAATCCATTTTGTACTAATAGTGGATGCTTCCTCCTTCTGGGAAGAGAGTCATTACAGACACCAAGGATCCATTCAGGCTTGTCTTTCACTTCTACTTCCCAGTACTGCCGGTCACTACTATAGCCCTTAGAGCCCACAACAGCTGGGAGGCGATAAAATCTTCTTGGGTTTGGAGGTAAGTTTTGCACCGTATTTCCGTATCGCACAGTTTTTCTATCTGCTGAGACTATAAGTTTATGATGTGCTGTTTCAGGATCTAGAATTACATCCACTTGAAATCGCTTGATAATTTTGTATAGGCCAGAATATTGTGGAGGCAGACGGTAACCATATTCTTTTAATCTGAATGAAAAGGGTTCAGGTAATTTGAAATTTTTGTATCTGTGATAGATATCCTTAACATTGGCCAGTAATTCTAGTCCTGACTTCATATATATGCTCTCTATCTCCTGTAGTAGATATTTTAATGAGGAGGCATAATCTGAGAATTTTCTTAGGCTTTCATTTAGTTGTGCTAAAATATCCATCTCTTCAGCTTGTAGTTGCTCAAGAACAGTCTCTTGCTCATTTTGGAGAAATGACCTAAGTTGCTCAAATTCAGACTTCACTTCTTCTTCCTTACGTTTTACCTTTTTCTTCAGTTCTAACGATTTTCTGGTTTGTATGGTTATGATTTTTTCAGTTAGTTCCACTCGCTCCTTCCATGGTACATTGTATTGCTCCAATTTTTTCCTGTGATAGGAGGCAGCCTTCTTTATGTGCCAAACACAGTGAAGCTGGTGATCAGTGGAGAAACTGCACCTTGGACATAAAAGCTCTAGGTCTTCCTGACAGAAAAAGGTCAAAACCTGATTATGTTTCTGACAAACATGCTTCTCTTCTTGCTTCTTTCTCTTGCTTCTTATCTGGAGTTGCTTAGCAATTTCAGTCAAACGACCCAGTTGAGGATTGCTTGTCAATTTCCTTTCTGGACAGCAAAAGTGGCAAAAAGGGCAGGGAAAACTATCATCTAGATCCTTCCAGGATATAATGATGCAGGAGAGACAGAAGTTATGCCCACAACTGATGGTCACTGGGTCTTTCAAGTAGTCCAGACAGATGGGACAGCTAGCCACTGCTTGAAGGTCAGCCATTGAGCCTTGAACAAAGATGGTAGGTAAAGTAATTATTTTAATAAGGCCTAGCTCTCTAGACCTCAAGTCCCAGTAAGCAGTAGATATCTTCCCCCAGACCTTGAAATTTGAATTTGCTTTCAGTTTTACTGCTTTGGCATGTTGATGGCAGCTTCTAGAAACTTCTCAGCTCCTTAGCTTCAGAGTCTACAGCCGCGAATACTTCACAGGCTGCAGCCTATTGCACATTTCAGCATATTAGCTGGGCTCCTGCTCTTCCCACTTAATGAAATAAAGTCAAGTTTTCTTGAAGAAAGTAGACTCAGGTCCAAGATAAGGAATCCTTCCTATGAGTGAGAAAAGATACCACGTTACAAATCTGATTACATAATCACAAATGTATTAAACATTCACAGAGGAATCATCAAAGAATGCTGAAATCACTGGGTGGATGTTCTTGGAAAAACAAGATATTAATATTGCAGAGATTCACAATGTACATTACTTAGACACATACACACACAGAGACACACAGACAATATCTTAAAAATGTGGAACAAACTTATGTGCTTCCTGATAGAATGCAATGGCAACTTTACAGCATTGCTCATATCATATTCTTTCCAAAAATATTGACTTTCAAGCTAACCATGAGAAAATTAATTCAGATTGTGGAGCATTCCTACCAGACAACTGGTATGTATTCTTCAAAACTGTCAATTATAGGAAAAACAATCATAAAAAAAAGATTTCCAAATTTAAGGAGAGGAAAGAAACATGAAAAATACAACCTGTGATACCTGATTGGATCTGAAATCTTGAAATTTAACAACAACAACAACAACAAAAAAGAACTAAAAAATGCTGGAAACAGGCCAGGTATGGTGGCTAACACCTGTAATCACAACACTGAGGGGCCAAGATGCATGACTCCCTTGCAGCCAGGGGTTCAAGACCAGCCTGATCAACATGGTGAAACCCACCTCTACTAAAAATACAAAACATTAGCTGGGCAAGGTGGCATGTGCATGTAATCCCACCCGCTTGAGAGGCTGAGGCAGGAGAATCCCTTCGCTGGACCCCGGGAGGTAGAGGTTGCAGTGAGCTGAGATTTTAGGACAGCACTACAACATAGGCACTAGAGTGAAACCACATATTAAAAAAAAGAAAGAAAGAAAGAAAGAAAAGAAAGAAGAGAAAGAAAAAGAAAGAAAGAGAGAAAGAAAGAAAGAAAGAAAGAAAGAAAGAAAGAAAGAAAAAAAGAAAGAAAAAGAAAGAAAGAAAGAAAGAGAAAGAAAGAAAGAAAAGAAAAAGAAAGGAAGGAGGAAAGAAAGAAGGAAAGAAAGGGAAAGAGAATTGGGAACAAATAAATGTGAGAATCTTAGTATGGACTCTACCTCACACAATGTTCTACCAGTGTTAAATTAAGTACAATAAAATTATAGTAAAAAATAAATGGCTTCATTGTTAGGAGATACATATTAATACACAGCGGGAACCCATCTGGAAATCTGAAACTTTCAGAAATTTCCACAATTTAACAAAATATATAAGCAAGCATGGTAGCCCACACCTTGAATCCCAGCACTTTTTGAGGCCAAGGTGAGCAGATCACCTGAGGTCGGGTGTTTGAGATCAGCCTGACAAAGAGAGATACCCCGTCTCCACTAAAAATATAAAATTAGCCGGGCGTGGTGGTGCATGCCTGTAATTCCAGCTACTCAGGAGGCTGAGGCAGGAAAATTGCTTGAACCTGGGAGGTGGAGGTTGCAGTGAGCTAAGATGACACCATTGCACTCCAGCTGGCGTGACATAGCGAGACTGTGTCTCAAACAAACAAAAACATATATAAACAGAGAAAACATGAATGTAACAAAAAGTTAACAATAGGGTGAATCCAGGGAAAAAGTATATAAGGATATCCACCCTTTCAAACTTTCTATTGGTCTGACACTTTCAAAATAAAAGTAAGGGATCAAAACTTCCTGGCTTGCTTTCAAGACACCTACAGGTACCTGATTTTAAGCAAGTCAGATTCCTCCATAAAGCTTGCAAGATGCCTAACCCAGCCTGACTAACATGGAGAAGCTCCATCTCTACTAAAAATACAAAATTAGCCAGGCGTGGTGGTGCATGCCTGTAATTCCAGCTACTCAGGAGGCTGAGGCAGGAGAATTGCTTGAACCTGGGAGGTGGAGGTTGCAGTCAGCTGAGATGACACCATTGCACTCCAGCCGGCATGACATAGCGAGACTGTGTCTCAAACAAACAAAAACATATATAAACAGAGAAAACACAAATGTTTTCATATATATATATGTTTTCATATATATATATGGCCAGGCTGGTCTTGAACTCCTGGCCTCAGGTGATCCACCCACCTCAGCCTCCCAAAGTGCTAGGATTACAGGCATGAGCCATAGTGCCCGGCCGGCCAAAGGAACTTTCTGCTAGATATCTTGTAATGTGAAACCAAACAAGAGCCATGAATTGCATTTGCTTCTTAGTTCTTTTAAATCTCTTTCAATCTAGAAGAATGTTCCCTGCCCCCACCTATGTCCTAGACTACCCTGAATTCAAGATTTGCCAATTGCTTTACTGGTTCTTCTTTTTTTTCACCAGGTAGAGCCTTGCTCTGTTGCCCAGGCTGGAGCGCAGTTGCAGGATCTTGGTTCATTGCAGTCTCCGCCTCCTGGGTTCAAGTGATTCTCCTGCTTCAGCCTCCTGAGTAGATGGGACAACAGTTATATGCCACCACACCCAGTTAATTTTTGTATATTATGTGGAGACGGGTTTTCGCCATGCTGTTCAGGCTAGTCTTGAACTCTGGACTGCAGGTGATCTGCCTGCCTCGGCCTTCTAAAGTGCTGGGATTACAGGCATGAGCCACCGCTCCCAACATGCCTATTGCTCATTGACATCATTTAATTTGTACCTCAGGCCTTCACTCTTTAAACAAATTACATGTTTCCCCTCTTTACAACCTGTTAATAACTCCACGTAAGTCACGACAAAGTTTTTCACCCTGAGCTCACCGTTCAGAGCCCTCTGTATTTCATTAACTTCATCTGGCCACAGTCCCCTAAAGTACTTAACAAAAACAAACAAACATAGGTATCTTGCTTTCCCTCTTCTGCACAAACCACTTTCTGCTTAGATCACCTTACTCTTACTTCTTTCCTAGGACTGTATTGCAACTAGAGACTCAGCACAAGTGACATGTTCTCAAGGATAATTTATTATATGTCAGGCACTATGCTAAGGATCTTCCATATAGACACAGGTTCAACCAAACCATCAGAACAACTCCATCAGTTAGGAGCTATTGTCCTCACGTAGAGCTGTAAAAGCCGAGTCCACAAGAATTTGAACACGCTTATCCATTACGCTGATTGGCATAACCACTGGCATGATAATGACTAAGTTGTGGCGCTCCTTCCGTACACTCCCACAGCAGCCTATGCATCTCTCTATATGAAACCACCTTACATCTTTCATATTTGATATGCTCAGTTGTTCATACTTAATAATGTCTCCCAAATATTTTAACAGGGAAGAATGCACTTACTGGTCCAACACTACAATGGTGAAAACAGGGAACATAGAAATTGAGAGCTAACAATACCTAACAGAACTGGGTTTTCATCCAACTCTAACACTTTGCTCCCTACATGTAGTTGGTCAAGTTAATTTCTGAGTTTCACTTTTCAGAAAATAGGAAATAATACTATCTCAAGTTTTGAGCATAAATGAATAAATTACGTAAGACATTTGTCACAGTCCTTGGCATTTAACACATGTACAGTAAAAAGTGTTATAAGACTATCTCAGAAAATCTCTTAAGAGGTCATACAAAGTTAGCTGAATCCACATATTTCTATTACAGGCATGAGCCATCTTACCCAGTGTACCTTATTTATTACATGTAATACATGCATATATAGAGCTATCTCTATTTACTTACATATAAAGCACATTGCCCAGGTGTGGTGGATCACGCCTGTAATCCCAGCACTTTGGGAGGGCAAAGCAGTGGATCACTGGACGTCAGGAGTTCGAGACCTGCATGGTCAACATGGTAAAACCCCATCTCTCCTGAAAATAAAAAAATTAGCTGGCATAGGCCAGGTGTGATGGCTCAGGCCTGTAATTCTAATACTTTGGGAGGCAGAAGTGTGTGGATCACCTGAGGTCAAGAGTTCCAGACCAGCCTGAGCAACATGGTGAAACCTTGTCTCCACTAAAAATACAAAAATTAGCCACGACTGGTGGTAGGCATTTGTAATCCAGCAACTAGGGAGGATGAGGCAGGAGAACTGCTTGAACCTGGGAGGCAGAGGTTGCAGTGAGCCACAATCGTACCATTGCACTCCAGCCTAGGCAACAGAGCAAAAAAAACCTCCATCTCAAAAAAAAAAGAAGGAAACATTTTAGGCTGGGCCCAGTGGCTCACGCCTGTCATCCCAGCACTTTGGGAGGCTCAGGCAGGCGGATCATGAGGTCAAGAGATCGAGACTATCCTGGCCAACATGGTGAAACCCCTTCTCTAAAAAAAAGAAAAAAAAAGAAAAAAATTAGCTGGTAATGGTAGCGCATGCCTGTATTTCCAGCTACTTGGAAGGCTGTGGCAGAAAAATCACTTGAACTTGGAAGATAGAGGTTACAGTGAGTGGAGATCTTGCCACTGCACTCCAGCCTGGGCGACAGAGCAAGGCTTCGACTCAGTAAAAAGCCACATTGACATTTCAACCTAAAAGCTGTTACCTCTTAATAAGGTTGTTAGTCCTCAAATGATTAGTAAAGGTAGTAACTTCCAAAGGCTCATTGCAGTAATGGTGTGCTTCAGAAAATTGTCCTATACTAATTGTGGAATAAAACAGAAGTTTCCGAATTTTAAAATACATTCTTTATTTTAAGTAGCCCTCCGTACCTACAAGTTCAGCATCCACTAACGCAATCAACTTTGGAAAGAATTGAAAATACATATTCCTGGAATGCAGAATCTCCATCCACTGGTCATGAGCATTCATATGGACTCATGGCCAGGAATGGTGGCTCAGGCCTGTAGTCAAGAACTTTGGAAGGTCAAGGTGGGCAGATCGCTTGAGCCCAGGAGTTCAAGACCAGCCTGAGCAACATGGACAAATCCCATCTCTACAAAAT